GCAAAGACAAGGCAAACGTATCGCTTTCCTCGCAGAAACGGAAGGGTGAGGGGAAAAGCCAAACGCAGAGAGGTGGTTATGTGATGATGCCCCATCAGAACGGATAAAAAATCTCTACCTCATTTGCTGAGGAGAGGCTGTTTTGGAAGCAACTGCTGGAGGTGGGTGGTGGAAAGGGCAGCCAAGTCACCACTGACTTCTGGCCACCCCCAGAGGGGTTTCAAGGCAAGAGACCGACAGGTGCTTTGCAACTGTCCGCCTCTGCGTAGCAACCCTGCAATCGCCTGGTGGTCTCCCATCCAAGTACTCATCAGGGCAGACTCAGCTCAGCTTCCAAGATCGTGCTAGCCTGGGCCATGCTGGAGATTGGGAGGTGGGGAATTTCTACATCATCTCTTGAGGAAAAGAATAAACGTTTCTTGTTTAATCACCTAAAACTAGGTAGAGGAGAACAGGAAAGAAGAATTGTTGTAACGCACCTGTAGCATTAGGCATGGTCAGGGGTCATTTCCTGCAGGAGCGCACAGGAGCGGAGCTCCGGCAGTAAAGAGCCCAGGGGGCGGGCACATGCAATAAGCCCCACCCCCTGCTCCCAGCAGCCCTCAGTCAGAGCAAGAAGCAGCCAGGTCGAAGACCCCCCCCCCCCCCCGGGTCCAAAACAGTCCAGTGGGACCTTTAAGACCAAGTTTTATTCAGGTACAAGCTCTCCCTCCTCTGCGAGGGACACATCTGCACGTTCCCCCCACCCCCCAATAGCTAGGAATCCAAAACAGTCCAGTGGAGCCTGAGTGGTGGGTGTTGCCTTCTGATGCACTTCCGGTGATGTCAGGGGGCGTGGCATATTCAAATAAGTTATGCTAATGAGCTCCTGCACATCTTTTTCTACGAAATGACCCCTGGGCATGGTTAAAGACAGACATTAAGAAGGCTACTGAGGAGAAAGGCAAAGGGGGACAAAAAGCCGGCTTCCCTTACTCTAAAGCTGCGGTGACCTGACTGGGACCTGCTTTCTTACCTGATAAAGGACACTTTTGGGGCCTTGAGTGGTCAGGCCCCTTCCTTTCTATATTGAGGGGCATCGATAAAATTCTGCCTCTAATGACATGAAGACCCAGTTGCAGAAGCTATCCACTGAAGCAGGAGGAATGCTCAAAGGTAGGAACTTTGGGAGGTGAGGTGAAATTCCAACCCCACCTCTACATGCCTATCCTGGCTCTGAGGTTGGAAGAAAACAGGGCTGGCTCACGAGAATAATTTGGTCTGGGATCTCCCCCAATGATGCCCCTCAGTGCAAATCTCACAATTTGCCGAGGGAATTCAGGTTTTTCTCTTTTTTGGTGGAAAAAGGCTCTACAATCTTCAGAAAGCAACAGCCTACCCCCAACAGAGAGGGGAGTTTCTCTCAGCCAAAGTTCCAGAAGCTTCTAGAAGTGGGAGGGGAAGTTGCCTGTCACAGTCTGTTGTTCTACACTTTCCCAAAAGTGCCTCATGAACAGGGCTACAGCAAAATAAAAACCTTTCTGGGTGGAGAGATGGGATAAATAGTCTTTTAAATAAACAAAACCTTTGTTGGCTCAGCTTCCTTCCTTCCAACCCCAACATGCTTATCTCAGGAAAAGAGGGCTGAGGGTGTCTTAGCCACACTACTTCACACTAGCAAGAACATCACAGCAGCTCAAAAAGAATGCCCAGAACTGTCAACCAAGCAGGCCTGGGGGCGGATTCTACAAGGATTCCTCTTACTTTGCATGGCCCTACTACCTCTGGCGTGAGTGGGAGGAGTAGCCCTCCCAGCAGCCCTTCCTCCACCGACAAAACCAAGTGGCAGTTTCTGCAGCTGCTGTGACCGTCTGACTCACCTGACGCCAGAATCCTCGCTGGTGCGGATGCCGTTCAATAGTTCTGTAAAGAGCGGATCGACCTTGGCATGGATGGTAATCAGCTTGCCGAGCGCATCTGCAGCCTTGAGACGGACCACCCGGTTGGGGTCTTGCAGGGCTTTTGTGAAGGTCGTTTGTAGCTGAGGTAAGAAGGGCTTCAAGGCAATGCCCACCTGCACAGGTTGGGGAGGAAACGTGGCAGAGCCGCTAGAAGAGCCTGTGTGGTCCCCGCAAGTGGCACCACACACGCACGGAGGCAACCCACCAAGCCCACAGTCCAGTCCAGGCAAATTCAATTCCCTAATAGAAGTCCCTGAAATACAGTAGAAGGCAAGCCACAAGGAGCTTTTGCCCTAAGGAACCGTTGGTTCTCTTAGGAATCATGACATCACCAGTGTTTTTAGAGGTAAGCTTCCAAGCCTCAGTGTCAGTGGCCTGTTTGAAAATGTGATAATAACCACCACCACCGCCAACCCGCCGCAGAGTTCCCAGAGCGTTCCCTGCGGATGTGCAGGGAAGGCTCTTTTACTTTTGGGGGGATTTAAATATCCCCCCTATATTTTTTTCTACTTTTTAGATTTTTGTGCACACCTGGGGACTGCCCCAAGTGTGCAGGAAAATCTCTCTGCTCCCAGGTGCCCCCGATGTGTGGATTTAGATATCCACACACAGGGGGCGCCTTCGCTATTAGATATATAGATATATGTAAATCAAGCCTGGTCAGGATCAGGGCTCCTATAGGTTGACAAGACTGTTCTATGCTGAGCAAGCTGTTGGGATGTCTGCCGCAGCAAAGTTTTAGAGTTCTTTTTTAAAAAAAATATGCTGACATTGGTGTTTTCACTAGTATCTTCTGCAGCAAAACTCTTCAGCACGTGTGTGTAAACACACGAACAGAGAGGTAAGATCAAATATTCAATTTGGACGAAGACCAGATTAGCAATCTTACCAGGTTTCCCACTTTTAAAAGACATTTCACAGCTTTGTAGAAGCTTGAAATAGGGTTGCCAAGTGCTTTTTGAGCCGCAGCGGGGGACTCCCGGCTGGTGGCTGGAGCGTGCGCACACACCACACGTCACCCGGAAGTGACGTGACAACGCCGGGCATGCTGGGGGCGGGGCCACGATCATCCGAGGACCGTGGCCCTAACGGCCACTTCTCCAGGTGATTAGGCACAGAAAGCTTTTTTTAAAAAAAACTGGGTTTCTATTTTCTTTTAGGGCACAAACAGGCATACGGTGGCCAAGCAGGGTGGTAAACATGTCTGTTGGCTTGTACTGGTAAGTTTCACTAGGACTTCTCAAAAGGGCTGGGAACTGCATGCTTGTTGTGGTTGATCTGCTACAAGCACTATATATTTCAAGTAGCTGAATTCCTGAAGGTATGGATCAAAGAGACTTGTGTTCCAAGGTGCTCTGAAATGCTCCCCCCCCCAGTGATTTTCCCACTTACCTTGGCCAGCAGAAGGCTGAGGGTTTCAAGCAGAGCCACCTTGACGTTCCAGCTGAACCTGTCTCCCAGAATGCGGATGAGCGGTCCCGTAATGCTCACAACCGAAGGTTTCAGGGCATCTGCGGAGGTCAGTTTAATCACGAGCCCCAAAGCCTTGGCGGCTTCTTCCTTCTGCTCTGAGCTGCCCGTCAGAACGCCCTCCCGCAGCACGGGAAGAATGGAAGTCACTCCCTGTGAAAGAAATCAAAACGGGCAAGCCGGAGTTATAAAGGGAAGCTGGGCTAGTTCTGCAATGGCTTCCTGTTTAGCTGAGAGGGGAACAAGCAGCAAAGGGTCACCTCCAACTCCTCCATTCCAGAAGGCAGGCCCAGCAAACAAATCCTGTCCTCCTTCCCAGGGTTGGCTCTGCTTTCTGACCTTGGAGGTTGTAGGGCATCAGCCTCTAGCTACCTGAGTGATCAGCCTGCCTTTGTCATGGAATCCTCTTCACCCTTAAGCCTCCCCCCCCCCCCACTTTTCATTTTCTCCTTCCCTCACTGGATTATCGTATGGCATTGTGTGTAGAATAGCCAAGAGATCCTAAGATTATCTGGCAGCCAGAAGTTCTAGCTTTTAGCGTTATGCACCACTAGGTGTTGAGCTAGACTTGTTCTTAAGGCAAGAGATGTTTCAGAGGTGGTTTGCCATTGCCTGCCTCACGACCCTAGTATTACTTGGAGGTCACCCTTCCAAATACTAGCCAAGGCTGACCCTGCTTAGCTTCCGAGATTCAATGGGATGGGGCTAACCTGGGCTAGAAAACGGAAAGAAAGGGCTGGGAGCAATCATCTAAGGCCAGGGGGTCTCAGACTGGGGGCGGTGACTCTCTCACAGATGGGTCAAGAGGCAAGCAGGGAAGAGGAGGAATAGGGTGAGCTAGAGTTAAGAGGCTCCAAAAGGCTCAACAGCAAATTTGGGTTTGCCTTTGCCTGATGTGCAAAACAGCAATGAAAGATAACACTACTATTTATAAACACTAAACTTGAAACATACAGTATCAACTTGCATCCCTGTGTCTTATGCTATGGAGGGGGAAAGCAGAATGGATTTAAGTCTGCAAGTGGAGCTCAAAAAGTCCAGCACATTTAACAGTGGGTTCTACTTCAAAAAGTTTGAGAACCACTAACATGGACACGTCACACTGCAAGGTTTGCTCCCCCTCCTCTCCTCAATTCTCAGCAAGGAAGGAGCGCAGCATGCTCACATTTTCCAGAAGGGCACCCTCCCCCCTTCTCAGTCTCCACACGGGGGCCTAGGCCAGCCTGCCTCTTTGCTCACCATCCCCAGACGGAAGGTAGACAGATGGATCTGCAGTGGACCAGGGAAAGGAGCTCCTCCTATCAACACAGTGGGGAGGACAGGCAGATGGACCAAAACACACCTGAGAAGAAAGAATCTAACACCCTGAGTTCTTGGCCTTCTCTCCCCAGAGGGAAGCATGAAGGAACAAAGAAGAAGGGAGAAGTGTGGCTCAGTGCTAGAGCACCTGCCTCGTTCGATCCCTGGTATCTCCAGTTAAAAGGACTGGATAGGAGGTGATGTGCAAAACCTCTGATTGTAGCATTGGAGAGCTGCTGCCAGTCTGAGTAGGCCACACTGACTTTAATGGACCAAGGGTCCAGAGCAGCTGCCAGCCTGAGTAGACAATGCTGGCTTTAACTGACCAAGGGCCTGATTTGGTATAAGGCAATTTCATGTGTGGAACTATCCTCTTGCCCCTCAGTGTGACATTCCAGCTGCCATCTGTCTTCCACTCGTCCCCCCTCTGCGCAAAGTGAAGAGAGGCAGGCAAACAGAGCAGGCTGTGCTGGTGAGCAGAGAGATCGCCCGCATGCTGGAGAGCTCCAATTTCTGCTTCCCACCACCCTTCCCAAGGAAGAGGGGAAGCCGTATCCGGAGGTTTTCTGGGGAAGAGGCTTGGCCCATCATTCCACCATTGAAACCAAGTTATTGCACCTTGGAGATACAGTCTGCTTTCTGTCTGGCTGAAGCACACAGGCAGCCCAAGCCCTTGGTTCTATTAGGACAGATCCTGGGTCCCTGGAACAACTGACAGGCCCACTGAGATGGGAGACCATCTGCCACGGAACTAAATGAGTGGCACACAATTATTATTATTTGGGGGGGGGGGGGAGAGGAAGGGAGTCCTTTTCCTTAGAGTATGCAAAAGCCAGAAGCCAGCCCTGGTAGACTGAGGCCTCAGGGAATGTTTGGTAGGTGCTGGCAAGATGCTTATGCAGAACTGCACCAACCCTGTGTCGACAGGCTGATCCTCCTGACCTACGTCAACTAAGTCAGGAACTGCTGTGATGAGTCAAGACCTTGTGTGCCCACTTTATATCCCACAACAGTTACCTTCTTGGGAATGCAGAACCCAGGCACGTGCTCTCCGGTGGCCTCGTTCCCCACCATGCGAATATCCCTGTGGAGATCCTCAATAAGAGCCAGCTGGTTTCCAGCATCCAATTTCTGCAAAAAGAAGCAGAAACAACTCCTAATTGTGTGGGTGCCCCCACACAACCAACAACACTCCTCTGGACTTTCATTGGGAAAGTGACTGTACACGCAGGCAGCCGTGAGTTTTCTTTTCACACGTGGTTAGTTACTCCACCATGGGGACAGCTTAATGGCACAATCTCTAGCTACAGAGGAAAATATTTTACTGCTTGGAACACGCATGAACTCATGGAAACTGTGCATCCAGCTTAAATGGTAGAGAGGAGGCATTCTTTGCCACAATCTGAGCCAGCTCAGCATTAAGTATGTGGTCCTCAGGGTTAAAACACTAAGCTCACATGGGAACTTACAGAGTCCAAAAGTGAGTATCTGTGTTGCATTAACTGGTCACAAAAGCAAGGTCACTTCCATGTTTTATCTGAAGAGAAAAGCAGGCCCTAAAGGTTTTAAACCAACAGACTTGCCCCAAACACTTTACATCCTGTCAGTGAATCCAAGCAGTGCCATGAATAATAAGGCCTAACCCTGAGCAGCTAATCGCATCTCCGATCCCTAACAAGACATTCTAAAATTCTACAAATGAAGTGAACAGTCTGCAACTAGAATAAAATAGGTACGACTTCAGAGGAAATACATCCCACTCTGAATTTTCCTAATGAACTCCAATGGCAGAATTTGTTATTTGTCGGGGCAGAGTTTGAACTAGGCTAGACGATAGTTTCGCAGGGCGGCCGTACTGGTCTGCAGTAGAATAGCCAGATGTGAGTCCAGCGGCACCTTCAAGACCAACAAGAGTTCCAGGCTGTAAACATTTGAGAGTCGAAGCTCCCTTTTGTGAGTTGACACCCCGAAAATCTTGCTGGTTTCCAAGGCACTACCTGTACTCAAATCTAGCTAGACTAGATGAACATCTCAAACCTGCCCTCGTAAAGCTTCCAATTATGTCCCCGTACCAGCGGGGATGGGGATGTTCACCGACAGAGACTTTAAAAAGAAAAAAAGCCAGAGAAACCGCTCTCCTCTGCCCAGTATTACAAAACGAATATCAAGTACCACAGAGGCAAATCCAGTGAAGGACATAATCACACAGATGGCACAGAGAACATCTTTCCTGGTGGAATGAGCTCCCGGCAGAGATCAGGGCCCTGCAAGACGGAGCTCTTCCACCAGGCATTTGATCAAGGAGCCACAGTACACACCGGGGAATGTCCCTGTGAGAGGTTTTATTGTGCTTTATCGTATTTATGAATTGTACTTTTGAATAGTTTGTAAGCCGCCCTGAGTCCGCCTCGGCAGGGAGGGCGGGATAGAAATCAAATACAATAAATAGATAAACAAACTAGTGAGATTATGACCTCCCTTGATCGGCTCTGCTACACTGTATCTGATACTGATTTCATAACAAACATTAGACTTTGCAGTAACATATTTATTACATGAACTCATTTGGTTTAATTTTTTTAAGACCGTTTTGGGGGGCTCTCCTTATTTCTCAGATCCCGTCCCGAGGACAGCCGTTCACCCAGCCTGGCCTCTCAGCCCCTCCCTCCCTCCCAGAAACAGCCGCCTCCCCCCCCAGCCGTCCGCCCCCGTCCTACCTTGGTGATGGCACTGAGAGCATCCCAGCTTTCGTTCAGGACCATGGGGTTGGTGTCATTGAAGAGCTGGATCAAGCCCGAAACCAGGTTCCGCAGATGGGCCGTGTAGTCTGCCCTGGTCTTGGAGCAGTAGATGTTCAGGATGACCGCTGCCGCCTGTCGCAGCCCCACCTCAGGGCTGCGCGTCGCCTCCAGCAGGTCTTCGATGATGATCCTCTGCCCAGCCTCGTCTTCCACAGACAGGGTGACGGCCTGGCAATTGGCCATCTCCTGAAATGTCACGGCAAGCGAGGCCTTAAGTTTGGGGCCACGATTTCACCCGACCGCTGTACTCTCATCGAGACAGGTGGCCATTGCACGAGAAGACCTAGAATCCCTAAGCAGCCTAGACTGAGTCATAACATTTCTTGCCCTTTATTTCTGTCGTTTGAGATCAAAGACAGAAAGATCAATGCATTTGAAAGATACAAAAAGACGGATACGATCTTTTACCACCAGGTCTGGCCCAGGAGCTGTACTTGTTTCAACCCCTCATGCCACTTTTCATACCTACCCTGGTGGCTTGGCTTCTCGCCTGGCAGGGACCCCACTGGGCAGGAAATCTGACCTTCTGAAGAGACTGACTTTGCCTCAGCCAGGGCTTTTCTGGCTGAGCTTAAAAAAGGAGGAAGACAGTCATGCGCCGCTTCTTCCCATGCTGCAGGGTAGCCCTTCTGTCAGGAAAAGGGAGACTGCACTTCTAGAAGGATTTCCCATTTCCCCAGCCCTCCAGTGTCTGGGAGAAGCCAGGCTTTTTGTGCTATTCCTTGGCCAGCCGGGCAGGCCTGCTCTCTGAGTGCAGGAGATACACCTCTCTGTCGGAGCCACCAAAGCTGGACAAGGATATCATTGCCAGTGGGGCAGAAGAAGTCTGCTCTACACATGAGAGGTGGCCAACAGCAGGCCCACAAAGTGGCCCATGGCGGCAGCGGAATGTTTGTTGCCGCCTGGCCATCTTCATGACTACAATGCCCCGCCCACCTGCCGCCTGGTTTCCACTGATCATTGTGCTGTGCAAAAGGGGGGGGACCCCGCCATACGGAGAGTTCCATGACATCATAGCCACATAGGGACTCCTCCATCTGGTAAGCCACATGTGAGCAGCAACTTCTCACATGGTTCTATTAATGCCAGACAGTCAACTGTACTCCTGCTGCAGAAACATGCTTTCGCAGTAGCACAGAACAAATAGGTAACATACAATCCACTGCACACATCTGATTTGCCCCCTCGCAGAACTGCTACTGTCCTGATGGAATTCTAGCTGGCTTCTATACAGCAGCTATTTCACATAAGAAGCTGGCCTCGGTCACAAGATACTAAACATCTCCGTCTGACCCCAAGAAAGAACTTTGCATCTGCTAAATTTCCTCTCTGAGGACATACCTGCTGTTCGTCACCTGTCCCAAGCTTCTCCTTCAGTGCTGACATCATGGCAGGCAAGATGACGCTGAGGTGCCGGGTGAGAGCATCCCCAGCCACCGCTGAGAGGAAGGCCAGGACTCTGGTGTTCACGGGAGGGGAAATGAGCTAAGGGGAAAAGAGAAGACTGCCTTATTGCATCTCTTGAAACTGTGGCCCCCACGCTGCACTAGCATTATGCTCTTTTGGGGGGGGAGGGGAAACTAAACGAGTAATCTCGACTTTGAACTGTGACCCCAATTTCTAAGGACCATTACAAATCTGGACTTGCCATTGCTGGCACACCCACCCAGCCTCAGTGCTTTAAGTGACTGGGCCTGTGTGATGCAGTTGGTTTTTGCAATTTACATTTTTAAAGGGTGGGGCGTGTCTCAGAGAGGGAACACGTGCTCTGCACCGCAAGAAGTTCCAGATTCAATCCCCTGCATCTCCTGTGAAAAACCATCTCAGGGACCATGACTGGGGAAGCCAGAGGGGACAATACAGGGGAAGAGGGATCAGTCACTGGACCCAGAAGGAAGCAGGCGTCATGTATTCAACGCCATCCTAAGCAGAGTTACACCCTTCTTAGCTCAATGAGGGCAATGGGTTTAGACAGGTGCTGCTCTACTTAGGACTGCAAGGCTGGACATCTGAATGTAGTGTGTGAACAGGCCCCTCAAGAACAACGGCTTCCGCAACCATCGACAGGGCAATATCACCCTAATGAAATCACTGATACCATCTTCGGAGACCATCTTGTTTGTATGGAGCACTTTATTCTGTTTCTGTTGAGATTTAATAGTTTTAATGTTTTATACTGTTTTTATGTATGGGCTTGTGCCCTCATGTAAGCTGCCCTGAGCCCGTTCGCGGGGAGAATGGGGTTAAAATGTTAATAATAAATAAACAAACAAACCAAGACAGTGAAAAGAGATGACCTTTCAATGATCTAAGAAACTGTTCGCTGCTATACCTTTGGCACCAGGTAAGGCAACACCACTCGGCTCTTCACGGCCATAACCTGCTTAAGGCCATCCAGAGCAAACTCAGATGTCTCTTTGTCATCCTAAGGAGGGAAGGAGATGAACAAAAGTCAGACTTCTAGATGGAACACACACACACACAGCCGTGAACACTGGTGGTCCAAAAGTGACACAGTGAAGCACATCACAAACATGGGATCAAATTTACTTTGCTATCACCAAAGAAGATCAGACACCCTACCCCCGTAGCTTTGTCATCCTAAGGAGGGAAGGAGATGGACAAAAGTCAGATTTCTAGATGGAACACACACACAGAGCCATGAACACTGGTGGTCCAAAAGTGACACACTGAAGCACATCACAAACATGGGATCGAATTTACTTTGCTATCACCAAAGGAGATCAGACACCCTACCCCCGTAGGGGAGAGAGAGAGAGCCTGCACAAGCAAAAAAGCTTCATCCCCACTGGATCTGCCTCTTAACTGCCCCACAGGAAAGTAAATGAGCACACAAGAACCATCTCCCTGGATCAGATCAGTCCCAGCAGTCCATTTCCAAGACCTAGATGCCCCTGGGAAGCTTATACGCAGGGCCTGCAAGTGATGCTACTATCCTCCACACCTGAGGTTCAGAGGTAAACTGCACCAGAATATGGAGGTTCCATTTTGCTACAAGAACTACTAATAAACTCATCCTCCATGAGGTCCCTCCCCCCATGATGTCAGTTTTGGTCACTGCTGCATTTCCCCTGGTTGCTACCAATCCAGTCCTCCTGAATCTTGCCTGCCAGGGGCACAGAACTTTGCAAACACTTTGAACCCAGCAACATCTCAGTTACTTACCAGCTGCTTCAGCAAGAAGGGCAGGATGTCTTCAAGAGCCTGATATCCAATGGTTGAATGCAGCTGTTCAAATGTTTTGGCTGCTGCTTCTCTAACCTCCTCTAGAGGGTCACATAGAGCCTTCCTCACTGTCGGGACCAAGGACTCGGAGAAGCACAGCACCTGAAGGGACAAAGATTACTCTGTATCCAGAGCAAACTCAGATGTCTCTTTGTCATCCTAAGGAGGGAAGGAGATGGACAAAAGTCAGATTTCTAGATGGAACACACACACAGAGCCATGAACACTGGTGGTCCAAAAGTGACACACTGAAGCACATCACAAACATGGGATCGAATTTACTTTGCTATCACCAAAGGAGATCAGACACCCTACCCCCGTAGGGGAGAGAGAGAGAGCCTGCACAAGCAAAAAAGCTTCATCCCCTACATTTCTCAACATGGAAATTAAATGCCACACTGGAAAGGGCAGCGAGTAAGAAAAGAGCAAAGTGACAAATCAGCAGAAGATACACTGCCCCCTGGAACCGAGCCCTAAATACATAATCTATCCTGAGATTTGCAGGAATGATATGGCCATTAAGAGGCTCAAGACCACCAGACTCCCTGCTGTAAAGGGAAGTGAACTTACGGCATCCCTGCTGGTGGACTTCATGATCTCACTCAGCCCAATGCAGACCCCTTGCCTCTTGTCACTCTTCTCAGACCTCAGGCCTTCTTCCAAAATGGGGATGATTTCTGGGAGGATCTTTTCGCCCAGCTTCCGGACAAGGTCTCCCAGTGTCCGTGCTGCAATCTGCCACCACGGAACAAGAGAGTCGGGGTGAGTTAATCCGAACAGATCAAGTTGTGACTGTTTTAACCTCTGAGCGAAAGGCTTACTTTCCATTCACATGTGGAAGAAATAAAAGCCCTGGTTATACATGGCTCTACCTTTACGCAGCCTCCAAACGGTGAGTGATCAGGCACTAGCAGGTAGAGCCAAGAGTAGGGCTTCTTCAGAAATAGGCTCATAAACAGCATACATTTACTAACAATGCCAACATGTCATCTGACACCAAAATGACTCCTACGCAGTGGGAAAAGGCCCATCGGTCCAAATACTTAACTGTTCTCTTGTCCGCACAAGTACTGGCCAAGAATCCCAAAAGGAGGCCAAAGAGCGTTGGCAGGATCTCCCGGAGCGTGCGGGGCGTGTTTGAGACGACAATCTTCCAAACGTGCAAGGATGCTTGGCGAACAACCAGCTGGGTATCTGAGCGGCCCATGTACAGCCCTGCCAAGACTCTGTTCCTCCGCTCCACGCCAAGCACATGAATGATGGCCTGGAAAAACAAAATTAATACATGAAGGAAGTTAACAAGGAAACAGCTATTGGGGGGAGGGTTACCATTGGAGGACCAGGAAAAAACACTCTGGCACCCTCTTTTTCCGTTTTTTGTAAATTATTCTGTGACAGTGGCAGATAACAGAAGAAAAAAACAGCTCTCACTTTATTGGACTGGGCTGTGCCAAAGTTGTCATCTTCGGAGGCCGTTTCTGTGGTCATTTTTCCTGTGACTCCCGAGATGTGGAACAGGAGGTCTCCAAGCAACTGAACGGAGCTAAACCTGAGAAAAAGGAATAAAGGCGGAGCAGGGGATAAAAATCAACCCAGCAGTTACACTTAAACACACACACACGGCCAGATAGATTCAGAATCTCTATTCCCAATGGCACATTCTCAGCAGTTAAGGTGCGTGTCTCCCCACTTCCAGGGTAGGGCTTGCATGTTGCTTAAGACATGGATTGTTAACACACATGACTGCAAAAAGGAACACCAGCAGGGCCTTCTCAGACAGATGCCCTAAGAACAGCTGATAGACCAATCCTCCGAGAATTGTTCATTTGTTTTCAAAAGCTTTCCTAGTGGCTGCAGTCACATCTTGTAGTATAAAATTCTGTCCCGTGTAGCTCTCAGAAGCCCGAAGCCCATATCCATCCCACTGGAGGCTGTAGGAAGACAGAGTCTACCCACCTACCTGAAAATCAGCGTCTTACCTGATCCGCCAAAGGTCGTCGAAGAGCCCCTGCTCCAGCTGAGGCAGCAGCAGCGCAATGGCCGTCTCGGCATACATGCTTATAATCCTCTGTCCAGCACGCAAGGCTGTGTCTCGCACGAATTCATTCTCATCTGCCAGTGCCTAAGATACAAGACAAAAGCCCCAGGAAAAGTGAAAAAAAAAACATGATTAGCAGTCAGTGAGCAAATGCAGCTCTTGATAAACTTAAAACAAGCCTCTGTCCTTCTAAAAAAAAAGGGATTCAAGCAACCAACTGCTTCCTACCTTAAGGATACAGGGTATGATGGGTCCAACATAAGGTATAAATTTCTCCCCAAAGGTAATGGGCAAGTAGTTGAACATCATAATATAACCATCCCGGACATGCGGAGCAATATCCACTTTGCTTGCTGTAGCCACAATTTCTGGCATAAGTTTCTCCAGCTTCTCTACCCCCAAGCCTGCCATGACTTCAGCCAGACCTATATTGGTAGAGGGAGGGAAGACGGAAACAGTTCAGTGTTGCAAACATGAAGATGTTATAATTAGGGCTGCATATGTGTTATGTACCCACAGAAAAGCTGCAGAATGTAGTACTACCCAGAGAATCTGACTTCCTGACCAACTCAAATTTTATCTAGTCCTTAGTTTGCAAATATGTCCTTGATTGAGAATGGGAAACGCCTGATGAAATTTCACTGGCAGGGGGTACAGCTTCAAACAATTCCTTGTCCTTTCTCTATGCCAAGCAGCAGGGGACTATTCCAGGCCACAAAAAAGAACCAGAGAGAGAAATCCAACAAATGTGCATCATTTGCATAATTGCTACTAGTTGTCAAATTCAGCTTCTCTGGCTGTAGGATCTGGGTTCCCTTGGTGCAGAATATGTATTTCTTTTAGCTTGGATCTCTCTTGTGAGTTTGATAGTCATTCATCATTTATATGGCACGTTTAAGTTAGGAAGTATTTGGTAGCCTTTACTGAATTACCCTCCAAACAATCTGGAGAGGTCGGACAGTGCAGACGGAATGCCAAGGCGATCAGTTCCTTGCCCCAGGCTGCCTGGCATGCTCACGGTCCATCGCTGACTCTCCTGCACCTAAACCCAGTACTTTACCAAGAAGATGGCAACAGTTCCTATCCTCCCAGGCACAATCTTGTGCCAAACTTTAGATGCTGTGAAGGGAAAGGAAGGAGAAGACAACTCCAGCATTAGACAAAGCCAGTGATCCTTACCTTGTGCAGCACCAGATCGATCCACCGAGCTCTGCTCATAGGTCAGGGTCTCCATCAACCATGGCAGCAAGTCCTCAAAGCAGGACTCGCCCATCCCCTTCACCATCGCCCCCAGTGCCTTTGCAGACACCGTGCGCACCTGCAGAGTCAAAGGAAGAGGTAATGAGAACTGGAGAGGTAAGGAGCCAACGACTCAGTGGCAAGCACACGTTTTGCCTGTACAGGGTTCAGTGGCCAGCATCTCCAGGTAAAGGATCTCATGTAACAAGGCTGGGTCTCTGGAGAGCTGCTGCCATTCTGAATAGATCATTTTGAGCAAGATGGACCAAGGGAGTCCTACTTGGTACTGCTGGCTCAGTTGGGGAAGCACAGTTGGCATGCAGATGGTCCCAGGTTCAACTCCTGGCATCTCCAGTTAACAGGACCTAGGGGAGAGAACCTGTGGGGCCTGTCGGAATAAGCAGTGCTGTGGTACCTGAGCCACACTATTCTGACTCGCTATAAGGCAGCTTCATAAGTCCAACAGTAGATGAAGAAACTTCAGGAAGACCCACCTCAGGCACAGGGTCCAACAAAGATGCTTTCAGTCCAGGAGTCACACTGGGCAAATAAGGAGCCAGATCCTGAAACAGACGATAATGGGCAAGTTGGGAAAGTCATTTTGGGAAAACTGGACAGGGAAGCAAGATTTTTTTTTAATTTAAAAAAATGAAAAATTTACATTAAAATTTACATTAAAATTAACATTAACAATCCCCCGGGGTTCCCCTCACTCCCCCTCCCCCAAATTTTTTTTTAAAAAGTTCATATAAACTACTTTATAAAACAACAAGGATCTAACTCAATAAATTGCTATAACTACACTCCACAGAACAGACTGTAGACCTAACATGAGGCTAATCAGAGATTTATCAAGTCCAAATTATCGGCCATAGCAGGAATCACTGCTTGCGACTTCAGGTAGTCTAGGATTGGTGCCCAAGTATGAAACAGTCGTGATTTATAGGTGGTATGTGTTTCTTGTAAGATTTTATCAGTCAATTTAGCAATTATAAAGCAGTCCCATATTCTATTTTGCCAAGCTGAGATAGAGGGATCCCTACTATCCTTCCACTTAGCCGCGATTTCCATCTTTGCTAAGGCAAGTAGAGTCAGGACTGTTTGTTAAGATTGTAAAATAGATTCAAGTGTTTTATGAAGTAATAATGCTTCAGGTGTTTCCGGTAGATTGAGACCTGTTATATCTTGGATGGCAGCACTAATAAATACCCAAAAGCGCCTGACTCTAGGGCATGACCACCAACAATGGAGATATCCTGCAGTCTTACCACATCCCTTCCAACATAGGACAGGGAAGCAAGATGGCTATTAAAAGACACGCTTGGCAACAGCACTGAGAACAAAGTACACCTGCTGAAGACACACTCTCAGTTCACTCTCACTGGGTACCACCGCCTCCCCACACTCAGCTGAAGTGTGATAATGGGGAAGGGCAGCAGGCAAGCCTGCCATCCCTGGAGCACAACAGCTCAAAACTGCAATAGATCCCCCCCCCATGCTAGCTTGGAGGAGTGAGGTGGGCAGGTGCGGCAACAAGGCAGAGCCTTTAAATGGCAACACCGGTACAGAGTGCTAGACGGGCAACTCTGTTTAACAGGAGATGCTCCCAGAGTCACTGGTGGCAGTGGGAGCTGCCCAGTTTGTTTTTGGCACTCCCAGAGAGTGAG